TTAGCAAGGTGTTAAATTGTCAATAAAATTATAAAAAAAAATAAAACGATGTATTTAAGGGAAAAAAGGAACTCCATAAGCATTATCTTTACCCAAAATCAATGACACAAACTTTATAAATTTACAATTAAGGATTCAAATTTTAAATATATTAAAATAGGATAATGATGTATTTACCCTGGCAACCGACACCCACGGTTACACCATTCGGTTCAAAAAATATAATATGAGTTAAATACGTTTGTATAGCGTAAAAATCTCATCCCTGGCTTGTCTGGGTTATCTCCTTTGAAATCCCTTGTCTTGAAGGCAATTCAATCGGCCTTCCCTAACCTCCATTTCTCCAAATCTGACCTCCATTTCTCCAAATCCGACCTCCATTTCAATCCCTCCAAGCTCTACAGACTCGTCCCAATTTGGTGAAACCATTTCAATCGGCCTTTCCGGACTTCCATTTCTCCAAATCCAACCTCCATTTCTCCAAATCTGAGTAATCTCCTTCGAACTCCCTAGTCTTGAAGGCCAATTCAACCAGCCTCCCCGACATCCATTTCTCCAAAACTGGGTTATCTCCTTCGAAATCCCTAATCTTGAAGGCCAATTCAATCGGCCTTCCTCGATCTCCATTTCTCCAAATTCGACCTCCATTTCTCCAAATCCGACCTCCATTTCTCCAAATAGTGCACATTTCAGCACTTGGGCGATTGATTTGGTGAAACCATGTCAATTGTCCTTCCTCGACCTCCATTTCAAATGAGATGGAAACCTGTATTGAAATGAAGAAAACGAAGAATGTGCATAAATGAGATGCAGGGATGTGTGGGTTGACAGATTCCCTATCTTCGATCGAAGCATCTACATGCAAAGAATTAATATGTGAAGGGAGAGGGAGAGGAACAGAAGGAGAGGACCAGAAGATTCGATGCTCTTCTCTCTGCGAAGACACATGATTCAAGCCTGTTTGGTAACGAGAATAGACACTTCTTATGGGAATAGTTGAGAGCTGCGCTGTTTGGGTTTTATTCGCAAACCGTAAATAAACATATTATATAGGGTGTAACCCGCCGGGTGTCGAACCGGCAGGTGTCCCTATCGTTGTCCATTAAAATAAGGCTTAAATATATTAAAAGAAGGCTATGTTCTTTGCATTAGTTAGGAATAATCAATACGACTCGTTCTATGCCTTTTGCTACTTAAAATCCTACTTACCA